TTGGCCAGCTGGGGAAACCCAGCCACCGGCTGCAAGTGGGGGGTGGAAGAGAGGGAGCGAAGCATCCCCAGAGGGGGTTGCCGGGGAATGGTGTGGCAAGGGGCAAACCTCCGTAGCTTTGCAGGGAGGCAGGGGAAGCCCCACACAGCTGCCAGCGACCAGCCGGCCAGTAGGGAAAATCATGTTATTACAGGGACAGGTCGTGTTGTTCGAAAAATGTTCCCTAAAAAAAAAATCGTGCTATCGCGAAAGCATGTTAAGCGGGCACGTGGTAAGCGATGAATTACTGTACAAGATGTAAAGAATGTCTCCGTAGCTTTGCAGGGAGGCAGGGGAAGCCCCACACAGCTGCCAGCGACCAGCCGGCCAGTAGGGAAAATCATGTTATTACAGGGACAGGTCGTGTTGTTCGAAAAATGTTCCCTAAAAAAAAAATCGTGCTATCGCGAAAGCATGTTAAGCGGGCACGTGGTAAGCGATGAATTACTGTACAAGATGTAAAGAATGTTTATTAAATGATTATTTTACTGACCATGATCAAATGTATATTGTATTTTGGCAGATAAACCAGGAAAAATAAAGCCTCCATACTTTAGTTTAGCAGGAGTTTATTTCTATATTTAAAATGTTGTTTTAGGGAGAGAAGGGTTCCTTTTCTAGCCCTTTTCAAAGTTCTCTATCCCACAGTCTGTTTACTTTCTTTCTGGCCAACATACTTTCTAAAAGAATGCATGTCTTGCTTTGTTATACCAGCCTACAAGCTGATCACGTTCTCTTTTCGGTAGCATTTGGCAACTTTCAACTCAGTGAGTTAGGATCTCCGGTGTCCCAATAAAGGCTTTTCTATTTTGGTATATCAGTTAACTTTTTAGTTTTTCCATTTGTAGAAGATACATATGATCATGCTTTACAGGGACTTGTGAGAATTAACTAGTTGATTTTTGTAGAGCATGCTTAAAGCACTGCTCCCACAATGAGAACTTCAAGGGTGCAGAGAACTGCCCCTGTTGTTCTCAGCAGGAGATTGAGGTATCAGGTTGTTTTGTACTACCTAATATTTTTAGGTCTATGTTCACTTGTAGACAGTAGTTTTTTATCTTTGCCTATTTTTACATTTTAATATTCTTATTTTTATTTATTTATTTATTTATTTTATTTGCAGGAGAACCATACTCTCAGTGTCTTGCCAAAGGCTTAATAGTGGCATTTTTCTTCCTACTTGCCGCTGTTCTGAGTAATCCTTGGAGCAGAATCCTTGAAGTGTAAAATAATACAACAGTTGAAAATTTGAGCATACAAAACATATTTTACTACTGCACTTTTTACATTTTTTGTATTCAATTATTGTTTCAATAAGTAGTATTTTTATTATAAAGTTTGTGAAAAAAAATAATTTCTGGATTTTATGTATGTTTACTATATATTTGAGAGAGTATCTGTAAGCCAGCCTATTTAAGAACTCCTCCTAAACAGTAAGAACTACGACCACCAAATTTGATATGTAGTTCCCTCTTACTATAATATAAAGCAGGGTAAGGGTTTGGTTGTGCAGGAGGTGGGGGATGACCTCCCCACCCCATGAGTACCAGGAGGCATAACATTATACAGAATAGAGACATAATCAGCAGGCAGCTGAAAGATGTTGCACTTTTCTCTCCTCTGAACCTCCCCAGCCTCAAGCCTCTGCCCCACCCCAGAAGCCCTTTAGGGTGGGTGGAAGAGGCTGCAAGTCTCCCTCCCCCCATTTGTACAGGAGCATTGCTGGCTATTTCCCTTCATCAGGGAGCGAGAGGAAAATGCTTTTTGCTATATTCCTCAGTCTGGTTGGTAAGTGCAGGAAGCAGTTTAACCTGGACCTGTCTTCCTCCCCCAGCTGTGTCTGCTGTGTACTTCTCACTTGACCTCAAGCTGCTGCAGACTGAGAGGGCTAGAGTAGTCCTCTTTCCTTGGGGAAACCTACATACTGAATCCCTCATAGAATCATATAATACTAGAACTGGAAGGGATCTCAAGGGGTCATTGAGTCAAGGCCCCTGCCCTCACGGCAGGACCAAGTACTGTCTAGATCAGTGGTCCCAATGCGGTGCCCGCGGGCCCTGGGCGTGTGGCACAGGAATGGGGCCAGCCCCGGAAGTGTGGCGAATGTGCGGCGCCAGCACTGGGCACGTGGCGTACGGGTGGCCCCGCCCCCGGGCGCGTGTGCAGCCCTGCCCTCGGGTGCCTGGCACGTGAGTGGCCCCACCCCCAGGCGCCTGGCAGCCCCAAAAGGTTGGGGACCACTGCTCTAGATCATCCCTGATAGAGGTCTATGCAACTGCTCTTAAATATCTTCAGTGATGGAGATTCCATAACCTTCCTAGGCAATTTATTTCAGTATTTAACCACCCTGACAATTAGGAAGTTTTTCCTAATGTCCAACCTAAACCTCCCTTGCTGGAATTTAAGCCCATTGCTTCTTGTCCAATCCTCAGAGGTCAGGAGGAACAATTTTTCTCCCTCTTCTTTGGGATACCCTTTTAGATACTTTGAAAACTGCTATCATGTCCCCTCTCAGTCTTCTCTTTCTAAACTAAACAAGCCCAATTCTTTTTGTCTTCCCTCATAGGACATGTTCTCTAGGCTTTTAATCATTTTTGTTGCTCTTCTCTGGACCTTCTCCAATTTCTCCAGCTCTTTCTTGAAATGTGGTGCCTAGAACTGGACACAATACTCCAATTGAGGCCTAATCAGCACAGAAGAGAGCGGAAGAATGACTTCTCACATTTTGCTCACAACATTCCTGTTAATGCATCCCAGCATCATGTTTGCTTTTTTGCAACAGTGTGTCACTGTTGACTCATAGTGCACCACAAACTAAATATGACTCCTAAATCCCTTTCAGGAATACTCCTTCCAATATAATCACTTTTCATTCTGTATGTGTGAAATTGATTGTTCCTTCCTAAGTGGAGCACTTTGCATTTGTCCTTATTAAACTTCATTCTATTTACCTCAGACCATTTCTCTCGTTTGTCCAGATCGTTTTGAATTTTGACCCTATCCTCCAAAGCACTTGAAACCCCTCCCAGCAGTATCATCTGCAAACTTAATAAGCGTACTCTCTATGCCATCATCTAAATTGTTGATGAAGATATTGAACGGAACTGGTCCCAATACAGACCCCTGCAAAACTCCACCTGTTATGCCCTTCCTGCGACCATTCGTAACTACTCTCTGAGAATGGTTATCCAACCAGTTATGCACCCACCTTATAGTTGCCCCATATAAGTTGTATTTCCCTAGTTTATTGATGAGAAGGTCATATAGGACTGTCAAATGTGTTACTAAAGTCTAGGAATACTGCGTCTACCACTTCTCCCTTACCCACAAAGCTTGATATCCTATCAAAGAAAGCTATCAGATTGTGACATGATTTGATCTTTACAAATCCATGCTGACTGACTATTACCTATCCCCTGATTATCCTCCAGATGTTTGCAGATGAATTCCTTAATTTTTTGCCCGTTATCTTCCCTGGCACAGAAGTTAAACTGGTTGGTCTGTAGTTTCCTGGGTTGTTCTTACTTGACCTTTCTAATCTTGCCATTGCCTACCTGTGTAGTTTGCTCATATCCATTCTTTGTAATTTGATCGTTTCCACTTTTTATATGACTCCTTTTTTATTTTTAGATCATGTAAGATCGCCTGGTTGATCCAAGGTGGTCTTCTGCCATACTTTCTATCTTTCTGATGCAGTGGACTAGTTTGCTTTTAGGCCCTCAATAATGTTCTTTGAAAAAATGCCAACTCTTCAGTTGTTTTTCCTCTTAGTCTTGCTTCCCATGGAACCTTACCTACCAGCTCTCTGAGTTTACTAAAATCTGCCTTCCAGAAATCCATTATCTCTATTTTGCTGTTCTCCCTTCTACCATTCCTTAGAATCATGAGCTCTATGATTTCATGATCACTTTTGCCCAAGCCCCATCACAGAGCAATGATTTAATGAAGAAAAATTGAGATAAGGACCCAATCAACACTGAGTAAATCTTCTAGTTTTTATATAAACACTAAGATATAAAATTAATGTCTGACCTATCTAGAATATGGCTGAAATATTTTTTTAATAAAAGATAATCGGTCAGTATTAAAGGCTAGATCCTGTAAAAGGAGTATCAGAATGGTGCGCTGCATAGGTGCAGGAATATGGTTGGGTGGATTCATACCTAAACTGTAAAACATTTAATTATTTACCGAAAAGATATATACTTCAATTAATGGTTGATTAATTCAAGTACATAACTAGTGTTCTCTAAGCAATTTAAGATTGAACTTTACACTTAGTTGGGCTTTTCCATTTTGCAGGACCACTTTGGAAATTAAATAATTTTGAATGGTAGCAATAATCCCAGTGGAATTGGTTTCCCATTTTAAAATCCATCATCTAAAAAATTGCTGTAATTGCCTTATTGGACTTGCAATAGTTGCTGTTTATTTTCATTTGTGATTCTGTTTAAAATACATCTTGAAAAGGAAATAATATCTCCTTCTGGATATGTTAACAAGAAGATATTTTTAAAAGAATAATCTGTTTTATATTTAAGATTAATTGATTCATTACTATAGCTGGAAGACTCCCTGGCGATCTAGTGTGGGAATGTGATGTTTCTCAGCTTGCCCAGGTTTTGAGAGTCACTTTTACCACCCTGCCTCCACTGAGAGAGAGAGACTTGTTAGTAGTTAACTAAGGGTCAATGTCCTGAAATCACCAATCTGTTAGGCATCCAGATGATCTTCCATACCAGCCCTTACTCTAGTTCTCAGGCTCCTTTGAAAAGTTCCCATGTAGAGTTCAGCCCTTTATGCCATGAATACTCATAGGGAACAGTACACACACCCGCTTGAATGATTCAGCTCCTATACACTACTTCAGCACTGAGAGATATTTATAATAAAAACAATCATGTTTATTATCATAGATCAAGATTCAAGAAATAGTGATTATGGATAACAAACAGAAAGGTTTCATATAAAAATCAATACATGATTTCTAGAAATTACAGTTTATAGGCAAACCTACCTGCCAGAAGAGCCTTACCACATGCTTATTTTATGCAGACATAAAGTCAACCTCCTTTGTTTCACTGGTGACCTCTTTACAAAAATATGAATGCACTAGATATTGTGGTTTAAAGCAGATACATTTAGAAATACTCAATTACTGCATAAAAGTAGGAATTAAATCTAGATAGTATTTTTTTAAGTAGGAGACATTAAAAAATTGCCAGAAACTAGCCTATTTTAATGATCATAGGGGCCATCTAGCCTGGCATTTTATCTTAAATAGAAGTCTGCACCAATACAGCAACAGGAAGTGACTCACCTCTCTACATTCAACCTGCCTGTGGGTGGGGTGGTAGGAATTCCAAGTGATGATCCTGTGCCTTGAATAAAGATTAAGAGACCTTGTAACTTTTTACCTTTGTAGCTTGTTTTTTATTCATCTATGTATAATACTTTAATTGAATCTGAGTGCTTTGGTTTAGTATCTTGTGTTCTATAAGAGAATTGAGGGGTATAAATCATTTGTTTCCTTGTATCCATTTTAAATGTAAGTAAAAATATAGTACTACCTTACTTGTCTAATTTTTCCATCTAAAAGTACACAGTCTTTATAATCTCTCTACTTCATGCAAAAATGTTTTGTTTTTTTAAATTGGTTTTTGTATGGAAGTTTTGCCCTTTGGCATAGTCCCAGAATCATTAGATGCATTTAGAGGCAGGGTTAGGGGCATCTGGCTCATGCTTAGACAATTTTAATGAACTAAAAAAAATGAACTGATTAATGGATATGAGAATGTCTCATAGTATTAATTATCTAATTGAAACATAGGGCACAAAGACTCATTTTTCATAAGGAAGAGACTTGAAAAATTACTGAATTTCCCCAGTTAGGAAGTTTCTTATCTTCTGGTGGATTAGATTTAGGGCAGGCCTGAGACGTAAGGACAGTCCAAAACTATAAGGAAAGAAAGGGCAGTTTTTTCTGCTAAAGGAAAGGGTTTTGTAATTTGCTGAGGACAGGATCCATGTGTCCCATCCTTGGGGCTCTGATTAATAAAGCACACAGCCACCCTGATTTACATTTTGCAAAACCAAAACCTATCCAATGAAGTTTTCCAAGCCTAACTGTATTTTCCAGTCCCCTGTCTGCTAATAAGAGAAGAGGCCCAAATTTAATTCATTAATCCTACTTTCAAAGCTAGGGGGTTGGATAAAATGTGACCTGGGTGGGGGCTGCCTCTGAATCTGCTGAAACTTTCCATGGGGGTTGTCTGAAGAAGGGTATGCTCTTAACTGGACTAATACAAGGTAAAAAAGTCTAGTGAAGACAGAGTAATTTGTAGATGTCACTCCAGAGAAGGCCCCGTACAGTATTTAGGGCGCCCCCCTGCCATCAACGCTGGGTTGTATGAGAGAAATGACATTGCTCAGTGAATCCTGAGAGGAGACAAGGCTCTAGTTTCCGCTAAGATACAGCTAAGGGGCACGAGCCCCATGGGAGGAGAACGGTGATGAGCTGGTAGAACTCGCCTTGTTTCCAGCAGCTCTGACAGCTGAAGGTGACATCAGAAGGGTCCCGGCGCTCTAACGCCCCCCGGTCCCGCAGCGCAGCCAGCAGGCTTCACCCGCCGGGCCTGACACCTCGGGTCGCGGGCTCCACTGCCTCGGCCGCCCCCGCGC